ATATATATACTTACAAGGTGATTTCCTGTATCGTTGCGAATTCCAGCTGAACCAGATGCATAGTTCACACCTTGCAAGATCTCATCCCCCGTTGCACCAGCAGCATAAGGTGGAATGTAGTTATCAAAACCAAGGTGTTCCGCTACAATTAATGACAAAAGCATAAATTAAACAAGACTAATAGTATATGCTTACTAATTAATTTTGTTTGTGGTCATGATCTCACAACCACCCATTAAAATGAATCAAGCCAAAATATGCACATGCAGATTCATGTTGAATATACAATTAAGTAAATAAAACTTATATTAAATTCTCTCATTTAAATTGAGATCGATGGTCGCACAGTTTAACGCAAAAAAATTAAAATCTTGGGAGGGATCAGAAAAGGGAGAGAGTTAGGATCACCTAGCAAATCTGCCATATTCCTGCCATTGGTGAATCGACCAGTTGGACCGTCGGGGAAGTCAACTCCATAAGGTAGATAATTAGCTCTTGCTGCTGTGTTAATGTCATTGTTGTTGCCATTATCAAGTAACGAGTCCCCAAAAATGAAATAACAAGGCACTTGAGGTGCACCTTCAACTAACTTCAGGACCAAAAATACCGTGATTATTGTAATATAACATGCCATTGACAGACGCTTAAGAAGAAGATGAAGAAGTAGACGAAGAAGAGTGTTGATTGGGGTGAGAGTTGCTTAAAATATATATGAGAGGTTTTGTTGTAGAATTTTTATTTCATCATTACTAGAGGCTACTATTTAATTATTTGTGGGGTAGCGAGCATGGGGCAATTGACAGGTTATGGATGCTGATTATATTTGAAATATTTAAACAAAGACGACAACGATTTCGAAAAAGAAAGAAAAAATAAGACGGGAGAATTTTCAATGTCATCAAACTTAACATTGTCAGCTATATGTGAGACGAGTTTTAATAGTGTTGTCATGCCTTTACTAAATATGTTATAATCAAGAAAAAATTCAATTTATTTTTTAAAATTATCCTTGTTACGTATTCGTAAAAATTCATTTACTCCTCACATCAAATTACTAAAATTAAATAGCAGCAATTGAAAAGTCATTCAAAGACTCGAGGATAACTATTTCAGTAATTGAGAAATCATTCAAACTCCATGGATATGAGAGTTGAAGAACAACTTGAAACAGTTCAAGGCTTGAAGGAAATCAAAATTGACGATTCAATGAGCAATGAAATTAAGAAGGGCGATGACTCAATAAGCAATAGGAAATTGTGAAGGTTGGCGATTCCAGAAAAGTTAAAAAATTTCCTTTTGAAATTTCCCGAGTAAAATGACGCAGCTTTTGGTGCTTTTCCATTTTAGCCATGTTTAACAACAACCTGGAAATTGACCTTCATATTATAAGATGGGTTTTGGTGGTAAAAGTTGAAAATTTTGGCTTCATTTTATTTTTTCAAAGACGTTTTTAAAATTTTAGCAAAAGTTTCAAATTTTATTTTGAATAATGTAGTGACTTGACAAAAGAACTAAGTGCTACTATAACTATGATATAATATTTAATTAAGGGTAATTTAATCCTACTAACTATTTTTTTCAAGAATTTAGTAAACAGTGGACGGTTGGAGAATGAAAAAAGGTTTCTTTTTGAGCTGAAAGTTTCTCTCCATTAGTGTTGTCATGTCTTTCCTATATATACTAATTACTTACAATAAGCAATAGGACGTGTTTTGTTTACGCTGGTGGATGAGATTATTACCTAGTGTGTGCAAAGAAAACTGACAAACCGCACCAAACCGATAATTCGATTTAAACCGGAGAAAAAAACTCAATCATGGTTTGGTGTTGAAAAAAATCCGACTATAATTGATTTGGTTTGGTTTTAACTAAAAATAGTCAAACCGAAACCAAACCAACCTGACATATAAATTATATAATTTTTAAAAAAAATTATACATATAAATATTTCTTGTAAATATTTCTTAAACTTTTTTCACAATTTTATCTTTAAAAATATTATTTTAAGCTTGGACTTAACATTCTTAAATGATTCAATAAATTTTATAGCCCATAAAGATACTAATTCAAATTAACTTCAAATCAATATAATGCTAGCAAAGGAAATTTAATTTAACAATAGAAATGACAATAGTGTTGGATATCTATTTTTTAATTTTGTATTGGTTTATAATGAAAATGCATAACTTAGTTTATCTTGTTCTTTAGTGCTTGGTTGTGTAATTAATAGTACTTATTAGTTGCATTTATTTTAGCATGACCTATATAGTACTTTTAGATTATGTTAAAATTTAGTATAGCTTATTATTTAGTAATATTTTCTTTATGAATTTTATTATTTTTGTTATTGAATATTTTAGTAAAATGGTATGACTCATCTAATATTATTGTATTATTTTCTTGAAAAATACATTGTATAATTATATCTTATTAGGACTAAAGAAATATTTGGAGCACAAATTATATATTTTATGCTATGAAGACTTATCAGAAAAAAAACCGAAAACCCAAAAAAAACAACCAAAAATTCGAGAAAAACCGAGATCGAAAAACCCAACTTTATTGGTTTGGTTTGATTTTGTCACGACCAAAAATCTAACTATGGTCGTGATGGAGCCTATCGTGTTACAAGGCAAGCCTATTCCCAAAATATTACTACTAATTTAATTATAAGAATTTAATAAAATATTTTTCAATAATTTAATTCCTCATAAACTAAACCAACTCTAAATATAAATAATATAAAATACGGAAATGAGTCCCAAACATCAGGGTGTCACTAAGTCATGAGCGTCTAAAACTATAAACTGTCTAACTTTCCAAAAGAAGAAATGACAAAAGGAGTAATAACGTCCTGCGGACGCTAGCAGCTACCTTGCAGTCTCCAAAGATAGCCGGCCTAAACTCAACGACCGCCGCGCTCTAACTCACCTGGATCTACCCCTAAAGTGCAGGGTGCAGTATGAGTACAACTGACTCAGTAGTAATAGAAATAACTAAGGAACTAAGCAGTAGTGACGAGCTAAGCAAAACAGTCCAATTACTTATTTTCACAATTTAAAAATAACAGGAATAAACAGGTAAATTTCATAACTTAGTAAATGCCACAAAGAAATTTAACAGATAGATGCAGCAACAATACAAATTAATACAACCTCACAACAGTGTTACTCCATCACTCATCACTTAACACACTTAAAACACTCAACACTCTGCGTTCACTAGGAGTGTGTATAGACTCCGGAGGGGCTCCCAAAGCCCCAAGCACTAAGCACGAACAACTCACGTGCTATCATATCAATACCTGGATCCGCACGGTCAACTCACGTGCTACGCGGATAATTCACGCGCTATGGTATCAATACCTGGACCCGCACGATCAGCTCACGTTCTATGCGGATAGCTCACGCGTGTCACCCCTTCTTTTTACACCCGAGGGGGTATATAATGGAGTTTTTCTACTTTAAGTGACATTATTCGAAATGAGATTATTTTATTTAATTTCAGAGTTGCCACTTGGAATAATTTATTTGGTGTCCCAAGCCACCGGTTTATTTTAAATCCCAAATCGAGGAAAATCGATTTTATTTTAAAAGTTTGCGAAACCAGAAAATTAAGTAAGGAATTCTGTTAACCCGGGAGAAGGTGTTAGGCATTCCCGGGTTCTGTGGTTCGAGAACGGTCGCTTAACTATTAAAATTGGCCTAATTATCTGATTTGTTACATGTTTTAAACCTATTGTGCATTTTTAATTTTATAATCGCTTTTAATTATTTTAACCGCTTTTTAGAATTTATGGAATTATTTCTTGAACGAGTTACGATTGTCGTACAATTGCCGTTTTGGAACACACCGCAAACCACGCTACATGAAATGCACCCGCAATTCGCAATATGTTTATTTTTATTAAAATTCGAAGTTGTTATGATCGAGTCACATGAAATGCACACCCGAATAGGGGATTATATATCATGACTATGTCACGGGTACCGTACCCATAGTCATGATAGTTAATTAATCGCGCCTAAAACATTTCTACGAATATTCAGATTTTTTCTAAACTAATTCGATTTTTTATTGTTACCCGCAGTTTCAGGTCAGAAAGCCAAAACACCAGAAGAAGCAGCCCAAATGGCTGTTTGGTAAAAGTTGGCCTAGTCGCAATTCTTAAATGACTGGGCCTATTACAATTTTGTGTTCAAAAATCAAAGAAAATGCACATCTGTCTAAAAGATAGCATTTGGTTTATTTAGAGGCGAAAATCCAGAAGATGATTCAAGATCTAAAGTTAATTTTATTGCATGTGATTTCCAATACAAAGAAAAAGTTGAGTTTAGATTGAAGTTCAAAGAAAAGAGCCCATAGCTGGGATCAAACTATTAGGGTTCAGTACCTAGGCCCATCCGTCTGGGCCCAGACTTGCTCAGGCGATTCCCAGATTTGGCCCTGTTGCAAGTCTGGCCCAACTCCTGTGGCAATAGGCTGTACTATAACAAATAACTCATGCTATTATGAACATAAACTATTAATCCATTTATTGCTTACAGTCCGTAAATCTACATCATGCTCCTAAATACAACTATATATATCTAAAGGAAAAGAAAGAAATTTTTTAAGACAAAGTAACATTCTTCATAACTTTGAGCCCTTTAAATGTTACAAAGCCCTTTAAACAAGCTTCATCTTGCAAGAAATTAGCTATAGAGTTGTTCTTTACAAGCTAGCATTTGATTCCCAGTTCTAAGATTTCCTTCTCTTGTTGTCACTCCCATACAACCAGAAAAACAAGATGCAAACTTCATTATTATGGAGAATCCATTTAGCATTGTACAATTAGTAAATTAGCAAGCAGTGGCTAGTACCAAACTGATGACCATATCAGTTTAATTCATACAGGCATGGTTCATACATAAACATGGCCAAAAGTCAATGTAACAAGAAAAAGGAAGTCTGAAATTTTAGGAAGCAAAATTTATTGGATAGAAACCAAAACAAGTTTGAGACAAACATAGGGACTACAGGCAGAAACATCATACATGTTTGAATCCAAACCATATCTCATTCAAGGCTAATTTGGACAGAGAAGTACATACCTACTGCAGTAATGATCGAAATGGAGTAAAATGAAGCTCTAAATGGAAGTTATGAACCAGCAGAACCTAGAACAGCTGCAAATAATGAACCCAAAAATACCAAAGGACCAACACTTAAGCTTTCCGAAATCAGGACATTAAAGAAAAGACCAGCCCAGAAATCTAACCAGAAACTGATGTTTTTAGCAAGAAAGTTGCAGAGATTTTCTCTTTTTGTGTATTCAGAAAATTTTAGGTGATCATAGGCTAATGAATATCCCTAGAATGAGGGAATAACTTTCCTTTTATAGGGGATATAAAACAACATCAGAAAAGGCATATTCTAACCTAAATTCCCTGAATGTCAGATGGTACAACATGTTTGGACAACTGTTTGTTCTTTTTTCAGCCTAATTCCAGCATTTACATGCTAAGAATGGGGCAGCTGTCCCATACTAGAACATTCTGATATTTTAACCTTTGTAAAAATCCAACTTTACCCTTTCAAATACTGATTATTTCAATTCTAAACAATTTTGACCCAAATTCTGATTTCAAAATCCCTTGTGGAACCTCCTAGAACAATCTAGAAGATTCTAGCATTAGGGTTCCTTGTCTTATTTCAGTTGCCCCTTTTAATTCTGAAATTAGGCTTAAGGGCATCCAAGGTTTAATTCAAACAAATTAATTATAAT